TCTCTCTCTCTCTCTCTCTCTCTCTCCTTCTTATCTTTCCTCCTTCGCTGTCTATGTGTCTGTCTGTTCCCCCCCCTCTCTCTCCCTATTGCTCTGTCTATCCTTCCCTCCTTCTCTCTCTCTCTCTCCCCTCATTCAGCCTCGCCTAACCCAGATGTTTCGTCGCTCTATCCGCCACGCCCAATGATAAATCTATGGTGAGTCCCACAGCTCGACATCATACCAGACAAACCAATTGTACTGTGTGGGGGTTGTAATATGCAACAATTCTCATAGCAAGCACTATTCAAGTAACCATAAAATGAGGGGGGAAGTGATGAGAATGAGTAGTGCGTACTGAGCCTTGAGCGTCACGATAGAGTATCAATATTCTATGGTTAATGAGCCGATTCCTGTTGCCAATCGTCTTCGATTTTTACCGACCAAGGGTTTTTAAAGGGATTTTTTCCCCATTTCTCTTTTTATTTGTATGCATTATTGTATCCAGTTTGGCAGATGTGGTTGTCCGGTGCAGAAAAAAAGAATAATTTACTGTCTGTTTTTCTTTTGTTGGTTTTTTTCTAAACCTATGGGAAAGCAAATCGTTCCTTTTCAACAAGTTTCGTTGAGGGTTGAGCTCGTCTTTGCTTTTTGAGCGGCTAAGGTCATGCAGCGCAAAAGAGATACCTGATATTTGCTTTTATACGGGTTTTTTTAAGCCACAGATCTTTGTTTAGATCTTTGCTTTTTGAGCGGCCAACAAATGAGCACGGCCATTTAAATACGCGCTAATCCTTCCTTTATCATGTTTTGTTGCGGTTTCTTCCCTTCCATAGAATTATTGTGCACTACGAATGTCTATGTGGTTGTAAGCGAGGGCATCCCTTAAAAAAACAAACATTTTGTCTCCCCATTTTTTTCCTGTCTATCCGTGTGGCGTCGGAAGTTTAGTGGTTTCACTGCCGAAGACTCGCATGGGGATTTGAAGCTCAGCTGGGTCCGACGTGGTGTCTTTGGGAAAAGCACTTCATACAAATTTTGCCATTTGGCT